CGGTCTCAGATATCGATTATAGGTGCAGCAAGGGCGAGGCGCAGCGAGGAGCCAAAGGCTGAGCAGACAGCCACGGATTTCTAGACTGGACTCGTGAATCCTACGTTATCTACAACTAACTACACAGCTGATGCATTTAATCTAATCTCAGTGAAAGCCGGACCCTCAGCGGTCGCCCTCTAGAACGTGGAACAAGTGTTTTTTTACGGCTGGATTAAACGTATTTATTTTCATTAGCATCATTTATTCGCGGTTACAATACGATATATCAAGCTGCCCTGCCCTCTTGTGGTTAAATAAATATACTGCACTCTGCTTCAAAGCGAATCTGTAACTTGATTTTATGTATTAAGACACTTGTTATACTGTACAAGCTCCAGAAAGATCTGAGACAAAGTAGAACTGCAAACATGTGGGTCAGCAACAACAACAACAAAAAAAAAACAATAAATCAAGCGAAAGAAGCAGCTGTCCAGACAACAACATAATGATATTTTCTGTACGGTACCCATAAAGAAAAAAATTCTGTTGATTAGAACAATTACTTACGATTATAGACTAAATATGTATAAATATTTAACACACTTACTTTTAATGTAGCTGAGCGGGGCACCATTTTGTGGTATAACCTGCTATACCTTTATGTGGGCCGGTAATTTCCGTATTGGTCTAGAGGAGTAAAAAGGGGAGAATCTCTTAGACTTTAACATTTGCAAAAAAAAGTCGAAAAAACACCAGAATTCTTAAAATATAACCTACAGGTGTTAGCCAGTACAATAAATTACGTTTTTAAATTCCTTACAGACATTTTAGTCAATATTGTATTAACCATAAATGAAATTCTCAGTACTGCCAGTTAATAAAAAAATGTTTGGATGTTGTGCAGCGAAAAGTCGATATAAGGAGCAAAGACAGACTTTGAACTTCTGTGTAATATATATATAGCACGTTGAGTATTATATTACACAGGAGACAGATTATAATCACCTAATCAGCAAGACAACTGCAACTCGCAGCTTGAACCTTTTTTTAATGATACGCCGAGACAAATATTTGATCAGAACTTATCTAAACCGTTCCGCCAAAGAATAACGTTATAACTGATTTCCGAAATATAGGCTCTTCTTTAATGTTTACCCTCGAATCGCGAGCAATTTTATACCTCACAGACTCTGGCTATAGATGGCACGACGGATAACAATGATAAATCAACCGATGGACAGCGCTCAAACAATTGCTTTAAAGTTAAACCTTTAACCGATCAGTATATTATCACACGCATGTATCTGCGTCGGACAGTAATAAGCAGAATTAAAAATGGGTCGGATATGCAGAATCGACACCACTTCGTTTTTCTTAAAGAGTACCGGGAATAACAGCATAACTTTGGATTGAGTATTGGAAGGGGTTGAGGTCTCTCCCCGTTTAAGGGGGTCCAGAGGGTTTTATTGACTGGTTTTGACTATTGGGGGGTTACAACCCTCCCCAACGCCAGATAATTTTCGCCCATGACCGGGAACGTTTTTTGCGCCCCGGCTCCTCGTGAACAGGTGTTCTGACAAAACATCCTACCTACCGAGACGTGCTATCGAGCCTTTCTGCGCATGTGCAGTTCCACCGTCTTGGGATTAGGGTTAGGTTTTAGGGGTTAGGGTTAGGGTTAAGGTAAGAGTTTTAGGGGTTTTTTGGGGGTTAGGGTTAGGGTTAGGGTAAGAGTTAGGATTAGGGCTATCGATTAGCACTACGGTAGGATATTTTGATAAAATAGGACGTTTTGTCAGAACACCGGCGGTACTGATATACACAGAGCTCTAGTGCCTACAGCCGTTATCCCCCACATCAAGCGCTGATAATAGAGAAACTTCACAGTTCTAGGCGTTACACGGTTTTGTCAATATAGCGCGAACCTATTGCTATACAAATGTACTACTTACGTACGGACACGGTGAAATTTGACTAGAAAGTGTACGATTACGGCGCAAACAGACTTAGCCAATTAAAGTAATGCAACACAATTAGCCCACAAGCATATGAGTGAAAATACGGAGTTCAGCTGAAAGAAAGAGAGTAGAGAGTAAAGCAAAGTACCTTTTAAGATGAATGTAAGCAGACGCAGTTTGTGAGCCTGAAATACAGACACGCGCTTATCGCTTATATAAATGCCAAGTGACCGGCTTAGCTCATAAATGATTCCCAATCGTCCTGTGAAAATAAAAGGAACAAAAGGCGAAGCTTTTCATGAATGATATAAACTTATCCAAATTTCCCTACCCTTTCGGTTACTTGACTCTGGTGAGTTTTAGTGCCTGAGGCAGGAGTGACATATCCATTTTCAGTTGCTTGTGGGACAGAGGCATCCGGGTAAGCCATTTGTATTACAGTGATACGGAGCTGAACAAAGGAGACCACATGAAATTCATGCGGTAATACCAGATCATATGAGTCATGACTCAAATAGTGTGTCTATTCCATCATATGTTCCACAAAATATCCATCAGAGAAACACACGCGTGGCCACCAGTGGCTAAATAGTCTAGCTGTTGGCAAATCACATTTCAAACACATTGCATGTTAATATGACCCAATACGACCTCTGGTTATGAAACTTACAAAGCAGAAACCAAATTTGTTTGATCATGGGTTCAAGTTCCGCAATAAAAATCCGCAATAACTAGAATACCGGAATCCACAGATATATAAACAGCTATATCACGACTAAAATTATGCACTTTGTTTTCTATTTCCTGAAAATTATATAAATGTCTGATAACTACTCCATATTTGCTGCAGATAGTCAAGTGATTTAGGATCATTTCCTACAGCACAGTGTAATGAAGCGCCAAGGATTAACTAAAGAAGCCTGATTGTGAAGTCGGACAACAATCCCGTCTCAGGTATATTGTACCTCTGGTATCTTGTCTTCTAGCTACCAGTAAAAATACGTCAATTAACAATAAATTGCCGAAGAAAATTATCCACTGAGGGGTATAAATTGTGGAGCCAATTCAGGACCCAGGACAGCACCGTCAATCTACACCGGTTGACGTGTCTTCCGATCCAAAAGTCATGTGCTGTCAGAGGTTTGGATTTGGGTATAGACAGTGGGGACATGTCCCTACACTATAAGAAAAAATGGGGGAAAATTGTACTTTTGCTTGCCAACTGTACCCTAGCTATACCTATTAGTCTAATTTAAGGTATACACAAAAATGGACTGATGATTTTTGTACCATTGGGGTACATAAATATTGTTTGTACCTTGGGTTACAAAACTGTACCAGGGCTGTACCTTTTTTTAACAGGATACGAGGAGCTATAATGACTACAAGATATTTCACAGATCTAAAGATATTACAGTATATATCGCGCACGCTTAACTGTCACTTAACTCGTAAGGGAATTGGCCACATTTTAACATTCCTGTTCAGATTTTAATATAAAGTGGGACGACCTTCTTTTGACCCTTAGAAGAAGAAGAAGTACAGGACACCACTCATAACAAAATTTGCCAAGCGTGTGTGTGTGTGTGGGGGGGGGGGGGATGGGTTCAGGAAGTACAAATCCAGACCAAGATTTTGTTTCAACCAACCATTTGAGTACTCTGGTACTGTGACTATTTAAACTCAAATGGTTGGTTGAAACAAAATCTTGGTCTGGATTTGTACTTTCTGAACCTGAACTTTCCACCTCTGGTCCTCAGTACCCCTTTCAGATCACTGATGAAGGAACCTGCCACCTCCTGTTTGGGCACGTGCCCTTCGAACAGTCTGTGCACAGTCCTAATCTTTGGTATAAAAAGTACTAATCAAGAAAGTTTAGAACAAATCATTTAGACTCTCGAAGTCTCTCGAGAGCCCCGAGGCGAGCCTCCATTGACTGCACTATATCACGGCATCATCGGCAAAGTCGAGATCAGTAAATCTTTCTTCACCAATGGACACCAAACAGCCGCTGGACCCCACGACCCTCTGCCCAACACCCAGTCCATACAAGCATTGAACAGAGTAGGAGTAAGAGCACACCCCTGGTGAACTCCAGAATCAATTGGGGAAAACGCAGAGGTTCATAAGGGTCGAAGAAAAGGTGCGGGGCAATTTGGATAAACTGAATAACAGAAAAAAGAGGAAAAAGAAGAAAAGGGGAAGGATTACCCTCTACTAATGAGCAAGTAAAATGCGAGAAAGAGGCGAAGAAGTGAAGCATCATCACATCACTACTAAGACCACGTTCAACAACGGACACCTCGCCAGTCGCTGAGTCGGCGCCCCTCATAAGATGGTGCGGGGGACGCCGTGCTAAGTTGTCCACCCCCCCTCCCCGCCCCCCCAATGAAGATGGCACCATAGGTGATTTTCCCCAGGTATCAAGGCAAGGTAAAATTTGCCGAGTGGACTGGGGGGAGGGATTCCACGATGAAAAATACAAAAGCACAGCACAAATTCCTCAGTGGGGCTGAGACAAAATATGGTTTAGAACCACATACGGTTTTGGTATTATGTAGGCTTTGGTTATAAAAATCAACTCTAAAATAAAGTATGTATTTTCCTCCTTTACTGATAAATTGTCGGTGAGGGACGGTAAAATGTTCGTTTTCTGCATCGGCAGTCACACAGTCCTCTCGCATTCACAATATTCCCTTTGGGTAGTTTTTGGGTGATGCGCCGTCGTTTTGCGCCGCGACTGCTGTGCGCATGTGTCGGTCTCGCAGTATCTAGCGGACCCTGAGAGCGGCGCAGAAAGAGACACCTGATCGAGGTGAGAGCAGCAGCTTCCCAAAGCACAGGACTGTTTACATTGTTGTTTGACCTTTACGTTTAACAAGTAAAGAAAATGGGCGAGAGAAATTAACATGATGCTGACAGCTTCTGTGATCCGCGTCCGGAGAGGGTAAAAAGGAAAAAGCTTGGGAATCAGTGACTGTAAGTGACCTCGATTGATTCTGCGATTTTTTTGAGCTGCCATATGTAGTGTCTAATTTTCTTACGACGCGTTCAGGAAAAAATACTTGGGGTTTAAGTTTGAATGATTCGGTATGGGAGATCATAGCAAGGCAGCGAAAGCATGCCTATCTTTTTATTGATTCTTCATTTTGAAATTGCTGAAGCTATTAGTCTCAACGCCTCGGGTCATTAATTTGGAGAGCTCCCTTCAGCAAGTGAGATGCGCAGGCGGCGTGGTTGCCCACACGTCTTTCAAACTGGGGTAGGCACGGCTGGCTCACCCACATCCGTTTATAATCACTAGGATGAATTACTGGGCAAACACTTCTAACTGCTCGTTTAACAGTACCTTGGACGAGAACGGGACGCACTGGAGAGCAGAATACCCCGTCACCCTTTTCCCAATACCCATCCTGACCGGAATAACCATCACCTGCGCCTTGCTGTTTCTTATAGGGGTTACCGGGAATGTGATGACAATTCTGGTCGTCACCATGTATAAGGACATGAGAACAACGACTAACCTTTATTTGTCCAGCATGGCCCTGTCGGACCTCCTGATCTTCATCTGCATGCCGCTGGATCTTTACCGGATCTGGCGGTACCGACCATGGAATTTCGGAGACTTACTTTGTAAACTGTTCCAGTTCATAAGCGAGAGTTGTACGTATTCCACCATCCTCAGCATCACAGCTCTGAGCGTGGAGCGCTACTTCGCCATATGTTTTCCTCTCAGGGCTAAAGTACTGGTCACAAAAGGTCGGGTCCGGGGGATCATCCTGCTTCTCTGGATTGTCGCCTTTTGCAGCGCAGGACCCATATTCGTCCTAGTCGGCGTGGAGCACGAGAACGGGACCAATTCCTGGGAGACGAATGAGTGCAAGGCGACGGAATACGCCGTCGGATCGGGACTCCTGACCACCATGGTGTGGGTCTCCAGTATTTTTTTCTTCTTGCCCGTGTTTTGCCTGACTGTTCTCTACAGCCTTATTGGGAGGAAGCTATGGAGGAGAAGAAGGAAAGAAAAGATAGGACCGAACATTTCTAGTCGAGACAAGAACAATAAACAAACCGTTAAAATGCTGGGTAAGAGCTAATTATGAAAGTCATATCCCCACAAATTCATCTGCTTTAAAAACCTCACCTTAGTTTCTCCCACATGTTATAATCATGCAATTCCATTGCACTTCTTAAATGTTATGTGGCGTTTAAAAAACTAGAGGAGTGTTACAGTGGGAACAGTCTTTCAACTTTTTATTTTTGATTCCATCCCGCTCATCACTCCAGCGGTTCACGTAGAGCGCCTTCAGTCTGTAAGAGCGCCGGAGCGCGCCGCGGCTGTAGCTCGATAGTGCGCACATTGCGTACATCGCGTTTCCGTGATACATGGATCTACCGCGTTTCAGCTTTCTAAAACACTTAAGTCGTTTCGTTCGAAGGACACCCTTAAGGGCCAATTTCAAAGTGATTGAAGTTTACTTATAAATTAACCATGTATCAGGTGGTCTGAAGAGGCCGCGCCGTTTAAAATGAGGTGTACAAACTGTATTGCAGTTGACTGACGTGATAGGTGACTCTATTCAGATTAACTGTTTTTCAGATATATATTTACTAAGCTTATGATGGTTTAGCGAATTGTCATCTGATCATTCATGGGATCAAATTGAGAAAACTATTGGTCAACATTAATGAGCCCTTTTAATTAAACGATAGGCTACTGAATATAAATTACATGTATGTACTAAGCATGGTTACATCGACTCCTTCGGCTGTCTTTCTTATAAAGTGTCACTCGGGGGCTTCTAAAGAGACTCCAAGCCGCACCTTCACAATCTACCTATAATGTAAGTATAAATAAACAGCTCCATTGATGACTTTTTTTTGGACACAGACTTAATCCATCCTTAGCAAGAATGGAGTCCGTAATCTGCACCTTCTCCAGTTTAGCTTGTTGGCTACGTTGTGTTTGTTGCGTTATTCTTGGATGTATGAGATCGGAATCTGACAGAATCCGGATTGCAGTTATCGTTTTAAATAAACTCAGATTTGAATGGGACCGCTCTGTATTTGTCTGGCGTTTCCACTGACCGCCGCTCGGTGGTGCCCTTTCAGACCTGCTGGACAGGATGAGGAATTGCTGTTTCTCATGCCAGGTGAGCGCGTTCCACAGCTGCTTCTTGGCTGTGGTCTTGGCCTGGCGTAGAGCTCCTGCTTGATCACGCAAAACTTCAGTCAAGCATAATTTGGCGCTTACGGGAATTGTTTATTACCCTGTCCTTCTGCGTGCCGGGATTGGAGCCAGGAGACCCCTGTTGTCAAAATTATATCAATTTTACACTGTGAGAGATATTTATAAATTGCTATAAAAACAATGTGCAGATGAACGGATTGCTATTTTAAATTGAATTCATCACAAAGAATGTAAACCCCATTTCTTTGGGAAAATAATAGATGCCAGGAACCGTTACCTGTTTTGTGGCCTGACTTGATTGCAGATCAAAGTTTAAATCATGAAAAATGCACAATTCTATATAACAAAATAAAAAGTGCAGGTTCTGGCCTATCCCATCAGGAAGTGATGAATAGATACCAAGTTAGCCGCAACATGTTTCTGAGAAAAATATCTTTCCTCCCTTAAAGTCTATGAACGGCGCCCAAGCAGCGTGTTCCAGCTTCCGTGTCATTAATATACACGAAAGGACGCAATCAGCCGGGCGCCCGGGACGGCCATGAATCTCAGTTTAAGGCAGACGGCAGTAAATCTCCTCTCTCCCCCTGCAGCCGTGGTGGTGTTCGCCTTTGTGCTCTGCTGGCTGCCCTTTCACGTCGGCCGCTACCTGATCTCCAAGTCGTCGGAGGCCGGCTCGCCACTCGTCTCTCTGATCAGCCAGTACTGCAACCTCGTCTCCTTCGTGCTCTTTTACCTCAGCGCTGCCATCAACCCCATCCTCTACAACATCATGTCCAAGAAGTACAGGGATGCCGCCTGCAAACTCTTCAGGGGGAAACATGGACCACGCAGGACGGCGTCCACCATTAAGGGAGAGAGCTCCCCCTGCTGGACAGAGTCCGGCGTGAGCATGTGACTCTGGGGCTCTGCCACACTGACATCTGCAACGTTTTTTTTCCCTTGCAAAAGCTTTACAATTCACCCAACCAACCAAATACGTTAGCAACGATCGACGGGAATAATTACAGCGGGATAAAATGGGAGATTTACACCACTGCTCTGTTGTCCGGCAAGGGCTGCCCTGTTTGCCTGTGAGGGAAGCTTTGGGGCAGGATACTGACTTAGAGGAACTGAGAAGGAGAATGTAGGTTAGCAAAGAAACACAATACGCTGATAAAGGATAAGAAGACACAATGAGGAACCTGGAATCCATTTTGAAAAGGTACGTCTCACACAGGTTGACTCATTTCAAGGCCTCATGCATTAAAAGATACTTGACCGCCATGATGGGGGAACTGGTCGTCCTGGGTCTTTCCCTTGCCACCCTAATTTACCTTATCTTGGTGAAGATAGTCCTAATGGGGAGGGCGCACCTCCCCCAGCACTTTAAAACCCCCACTGCGTAGGTCTCCACCTGTGGCCATGTTGTAAGATCCAGGTGTGAGGTTTACGTTAAAAAGCCAGGAGTAGGTAGATGAGATGCTAACAGAGTGCTGTGAAAAATGCAGAATCATAGGACGTGAGATCTGGCCAAGGGTCATACTTAAGGGACTCTGAAATCAAGGGACTCTAAAATCAAGGGAATCTGAAATTAAGGGACTCCGAAATCAAGGAAATCTGAAATCAAAGGTAACCGTGCAGACTGCGACTAAAGATGAGTATTTTGCAGTTTGGTTACCAGGGTATAAGGAAGCCAGAAGGTGTTACGGCACAGACGAAAAAACAATCAGGTGACTTGAGTAGCCCAAGTCAGTACGTGGGTGAGGGTGACGGCAAGTCCGTGTCGGCGAGGCTGAAGTTTACAGGGATATGAAACCATGCTTGATGCAGCATGCCATTGTCAACAAAACACACAAACCCTGAGCTTCATGTGTAAAACACCACGTTTATAAACGTGCGCTTGACTCTGTGATTGTGAACATATTTTATGTGTTTAGGAGTTTACCTCATGTGCTTACCTCAAGACATACTCTGTTGGTTCTAACAGAGTTAGAATTGGAGTTACTTTTGTATCAAAAGTATTTCATTTGAAAATTTTGTGCATGTAATTCGCAAGTGTAAATCCACTTCCAAAACTCCATTTGAAAACATGGTTCAGTAAAATGTGTTTAACAGCTGATCTTGTTTATAATCTCAGAGTTATGCAAAGCGCTGTACGTGATGTGGGAGCATGTCTATGACACATGCAGGAAGTCTTATATCATCTACACATTACGAAACACAATAATAGCTCTTTCCATCTATTTTTGCTACAATAAAGCTCTATATTTTGTTTGACTGAAAGCCTAGCCTTCATTTTTCTTAAGTTAAAGGTCTGTCAACAAGCAGTCCTTTGACCATATTTGAAAAGCGATCTACCATGGTAAAGAGAATTATTTGTTAGATACACAAAAAAATTCAATCATATGTATTACCTGAAGTCCAGGGAATATAATTTTGTGCAAATATCTGATCATATTCCGCATATATTAGCATATAAAGCTACAAACAGTAATCATTTTTATGTGGAAACTGAAATATTTCAGTATATATTTGATATCCCAGCAATCTCATGCTGTCAAACATACTTAATTAGCAGCTTCCAGCCTGTTATTTTGTAATTATTTTGTAATTAATTTGTGAAGTCATATTTTTGGACATATATGTAAAACCCGTGATGCAAATCAGCTTTATTGCTAGAATTTTCACATTTTCTCTAGCATTAATTATTGAAATAGCCGACATGACAGAGGAAAAATACTCAATCTCATGCTCAAAATGAAAGCCTTTCATGTCCATATTTATTGCATTGACCTTCGAGGGTGTCGTGGGTCTTATTGCTTCGATTGGGTATCCACATGTTTTGAGAGCATACAAAATTAATTTGGAGTCAAAATAATCACGATTATGATAGACATAAAAATCTGACTGAGAAACGTGAACTCCGTTATTAGTCACAAAAATGAAAAGATTTTTACCAAAATATACCTGAAAACTCACAATAAAAAGTTATTTGCAGAGGTTTTGTATAAATTACAGTTATAGTGTACTTATGGGGGAAAGGGTTTTGTGCTATGGATACGATGGACGTTACTTAAGAACTTAAACACCAGGGGCCTGCTTCACAAAGCAGGATTTCTTGCTTAGCTGGATATCTTGTCAGATTTAAGGTAGTCTGGGCTAAGTAGACTTTTCATCTACTGACATTTAGCCCAGACTACCTTAAAGCCAACAAGTTATCCAGCTAAGCAAGAAATCCTGCTTTGTGAAGCAGGCCCCAGAGCCATGATGCCTTTTGAATTCACAACATTAACAATTCAGACTGCCTTAAAGATTAAACGAATTCTGGATGACAAAAGGAGCACTGTAGACATTGTAGTATGTAGTCTCTTCACGTGCGCCCGGCTGACGCTGTACGGCCCTCCATGTTTGTCCTGTGTATGCGTTCCTCTTGACCAAGATGTTCGCCGCACTCGCTGAAAACTGCACTTAAAGCCATAGAGTATGAAAAGGACACAGCCGCATGCAGACTAAGTCCGTTTCTTTCCACTTATGATTGTCGTTATTAAAACATCATTATATGCTGTAAATAAAATGAATGCTGTCCTTTCTTTCCATGCTATGCAGCAGGGCATTCATCTTAACTCTATCTTACAATTCAATACAAACTACGATGCATCGCCTTGTCAATTTTTATTTAGGCCTATATATATATATATATATATATACGATTAACTGGGCTGACTTTAAACATTCACTTCATCTACTAACAAAGTGGGTTTTTTAAGTTGGTCAGATATCATAAATTGTTTGGCTGGTCCTCGGATGTTTCAGGCAGCTTGGTCAACAGGTTGTATGCTCATGCCTCACAACCAATACACATGTATATAAAAAAGCTTAATGTCTGTTTTGTTTATATACATATTTGATGTTGTGTGCCAAGCGTCTGTCTTTGTAGTGTCATTAAAACTGTAAAAAAATAAATTTGTTCTTGAGGCAGAAACCCTGGCTCCGTCTTCTGTTATTTTGGGATACTTTTTGTGATAAATTATAATCCAAGACAGAAATGCCATAATCTGGTGTATATTTTGTGCCGTTTCCGTTTTGTCCAGTACATAGGCGATTCTACCGCGGACGCAGTTGCACCCCCTGCTGGTCAGATGCTGGTCCCATTCCCATATTAGTTGACTTGCGTGACCGATCATCTATAGTCATGTGATGCCGTCATCTGTAACGTTACAATTATCATGCTGGGAATTTGCGTGCGGACTGACCCGCTGCACTCACAGACCTGACAATATGTCATACCCTCTCATTAACAAGAAACAAATGAATCTCCTATTATTCAAACATATCTTGTCATTTTATTACAAAACCAGTGTCACATTGGTGTGCCCTACCGAATGGGCCGCAGCTATAGACACACCCTCCCCCAGACATCCTGACCGATAGCAGCAGAAGCATTTAGCGGCACATTGAAACATCCGTCATTCACGAATCCTCCACGTAAGAGCAGGTGCCATCGTGCCGTTTCGGTAACGAGCTGTAATTTGCCAGCTGCTGCTGAAAATCCACTGCAGTACTGAAGGTTAAACAGAAAATGAAAGCCTTTCTCTGCTGCCCAACTGCATTCCCACCCCCAGTCGCGAACACTGCGCAATGTCTATGACCATTCATCATAGTAACATGACAGCTGATGGTTTGGTCCGTGATTGATACGTAGGGCTGCGCGGACTGACTGCTGCGGCCGGTTTACACTCGAGTTAACTTTCTCGTCGTCGGGGAGATTTTGATTCATCAGGCTGGTCTCCTAATCGTAGGTTATTTAACAGAAAAACTGCTTCTTAAAGGGTCAACGTGAGACCGGTCATGCAGGTTCACGGGTCCCCAAAACCATTTCTGGCGTGGAAGAAAAATATCACAATACTCCGGAGCGCAAAATGATGATTTTATATGCTGAAATAGACATTACTTAAGACGTTTATATTTTGATGAAGTATATTCAGTTCAGATAGCCTATTGCCTTGCTTCTTGGCTTCCAAGAGGTAAATCGACATTTGAGAGCCATCTTTGGTCCGCGGGGCATTCCAGAAAATCCGCTGTGGCTTTCTTGGATTAATAAAGATGCTAATAAATGAGCTTCTCACAGCGAGTGAAAATGAAAAGTAAGCAGAGGCGGAAGCAGAGCGCCATCGATTGGGTTTTTATTGTTTTGCAATTCTCTCTTATGGAGTGGCTTCACCGAATTACTAGTTTCACAGGGCGATGCTGTGCAGAAATAAAGCGGTTTAAGTTTTTCAGGGTTTGCAGGGACTCCGAGTAATAACGGAGATTTTATTTATTTTGATGTTTCTCATAAGCAGTACAACACAGGATGCATTTTTACGAGCTTATTTATGGAGTCAGACTCTGGGGTGCTCATTTTATCCGCTTGAAGGACACTCAAATGGGGAAAACGACATGATTCACTTGAGTGAATTTACATTGGTCTCCAGGTTAACCCCTAAAAGGGTTTTTAATACGACTGGCGCACGTCAAGTTGTAAGCCCATCCATCGTTTAGCATTTTAAGGAAGTGCGATATAGCTGACTGCAAGCATATCCAACACTTCAAACTATATTGCTTTGGACATTTAAGTAAATTTCACATACAGGCCTACCATAAACAGGAGGGGAAGTAAGCAGAAGATTCTATAAAAGGAACACCAAGCGTTATCAGAAAAAATTAAACATTTATTGGGCATAAATATATTACATACGCTACAGATACAGTTTAGTCTTACATACATAGGGTAGTATTTGCAAAATCTATACATTAAAATTGGTATGGCAGTTTCTTTTATATAATGCATATGAAATTGTCTAAAATTTACAATACAAGATGAAATGTGTGATTTATTTCAAATCGTAAATCATGAAAAGCTTGGAATGTTTTCTCTTATTTTCTCTCTAACCATGAGGTAAAAATATGCATTTGCTTCCGACTTAAAATATCCGACATTTGCGTATCTATACATTTACGTGGGATTATTTCTGGAGTTTTACTGACCAAAAGCCAAACTATCGTTTCATATATACCTTTATAATAATAAAAACCCTAGTTCGGTCAGATCACTGTTTAGCTCATAACTTTTTTCTTACATCCCAACAATCTTAAAACTCTCCTTAGTTAAAACGTTCACTCTCTATAACCCCATCACATTACATTTACGGCAGCACCAACAGGACAGGGGCCTGGGAGACAACGCACTTTTCAGATAGTGAGGCCTTTCACCACCGACTTTGACTACCGAAAACAGTCGTGTCTGTTTACTTAACAGACTCCTTACCCACTCAACAGCACTGACTTTTTGTTTTAAGGAAACCAGTTGCTTAATTAGGCATTACAGTTTAATCATGATACATTTTATAAAGACTAACGTTTTGCTTTAAAAAGTGCTTCATTTCGGTTAGTTGTTTTTTTAAATCATACTAAATCTATATCTATCTATATATATTATTAACAAAATACTGAATATGTTCACTATTGCGCTATGACATACCATGAAAAAAATCATATGTCCCAGAACATAAAAATTGATTGTTTTTCTTACTTTTCAGTGTGAAATCATTTAAAGTTTTCATTAAAAGGGTTATACAATTAAATGGCACATTTCGTCTTACACAATAGAAGAAAAAAAGCATAAATCACACAACAGTTAACGTTTCCTTTTGAGGGTCGCGACGGTCTAGTGTCACGAAGGATTTGTCGCATGACCCGTTAAATAAACACGACAATGTAAAGTGGACAAGCCTTCGCTTTGGCAAACAATGAGATACAAGCTTCATAACGCTATCTAGCAATTGACAAATGTAGCTTAATACATCCCATTAAAGAAACAATTATCCTGTCTAAACATGAGCGACATCTCCCTAGGCGACAGAAATGAAGATAAAAATAAAATGGCTACAAGATCAGCAATTTGTCTGAAAAGAGATGAAAAGGATTTTTGGCTACATGTTAAAAAAAAATGGTATGAATATTGACTCTCTTTTCTGCACTACATGTTCCCACTGACTGAAGAAAATAAAGGTTATTACTGATACTTAGGAATGCTGGCCAGTAATTATAAATCTAAAATACATCAATACAAAAAAAAACTGAAAATAACATGCTACAAGGAAAAAAAATTAGTACATAACTACACTTCTCAATTTTTTTAAAAATAAATAAATGAAGATTGCACTGTAATTGGCATTTAAAGTACTGAATGCAATATATAGTATAAATAAACCTATAAAAGAATGATACCTTATTTTCCCATTAACTTTGGCAAAAGGTACTTTTGAGCTAGTAAACCATTTTTGCTTGTGGACACGAAAGAGCAAGGCACAGCTCAGGTAAGAAGGATGCTGGGAAGGCGAGACGGAGAGGGGGGGGGGGGGGGGATGGGACATCACGGCGACAGCAGGGAAGTAAATGTAGTGTTTGCAGCATCCACTAGGAAATGCAATGTTTCTTCACCTCTTGAAGGTCAGTTTCCCTGAGGTAACATGGAGGCCGTTAGTCAGGGAGGGGAGGGGCTTACCAACATGCTAACTCCGCCCCCACCTCCCTAACTGCCTGACTCCCCGGATGCAAAAATTCGAAAGAATCTGCAGGTGTAATTTTCGAGAAACTCTTTGGATTCGTGGAATCTGCTGGTATGAAGCTCTCCTTGGCTGTGGGGTTTGGGGGGGGGGGGAGATAGCCCTCCCCCCTCCCTTTAGTGTTTGGCATTCACATGTTTCTTGGAGATTTCGGTTAGTGTTGGAATAGAGCAGGGGTGGGGGCTGCCACGGCGACGGCTGCCTGTTAATGCACCTTGTGAAATCAAGAGGGAGGGAGGAAAACAATGAGGGGCTCGGGGGGGGGGGGGGATTCCAAGGCCTTGATAAGTCCAAGAGATGGGTAATTAAAAGGTAGGGAAAAAAACACCATTTCACAGGAAAGCCCTTACTTATCCTGGGGGAGAACTTTCACCTACACTGGGTCCCACCGCTTGCCCTCCCCCTAAACACACCCTGGTGGCTGCCTGGTCCCATGGCCGCAAATGACGTGGATCACAGTGACTGAAAGCAGGCCTGACTCCACCCAATCATAAGCCTGGCTCACCCGTGCAGAGATAATCCGGTGG